CCCCAAAACCCCAAAACCCCAAAACCCCAAAACCCCAAAACCCCAAGATTTATATATAAATTTGAATAAATATGGAACAAAAACATAGCATTGGAGTTGGAGGAGATGAAGACGAAATTGATTGATTTTCCCCAAATTTTGACCCACAGATACATTGAAGCTCTGATGGACTAACAGGTACTTCTACTGTAAAGAAAGAAGTAGCTAAAATACCTAAGAAGAAGATGAAAACAGCTTCTTTTTCCACAAATCCCTCTCCTTATGACCATGATCCAGAAGAGGAGAAAATCATTACTTCTAAACAGGAAAAATACACATCAGGGGATGGATGAGATGTAGAGACTCATGAAGTTTTATGAGGTCCTGCTTTTGATGATCCTCCTCAGGCAGAGCCTATAGTATCAGAAACCGCTTCAACAACAGCGCCAAATTCAAATACAGAAAAAGCACAAAATAGCCTCTCATCGATGCTCTCAGGCTTTCAGTTGGAAAGCTATGAAGACAAAGGTATGCCCTATTATTTCACATCTAGAAAACGATATTGAGAAAAGAATGAAGGAATATATTGCGGAAGTAGAGGCTTCGTTAGGTCCCCAAGCCTCATCTGATGCCTGCATTGGAACAGACAATGACTTCTCAATGCAAACAAGTTACAAAGAGTCTGAGCCTGAGCCTGAAGAAGAAGATGATAAGCTTAAAAATCTCTTTACGTACTTAAAGTGTATGACTCCATAGAGCTCCCTCACCCATCGATTCTGGAATAGACATTTCTTCTTTCAGAGTTTCAGGAGTTATCGAAGAATGGCAAGAACTAGCTAATGAGAAGACATATGCAAACATCTGAGAAGTTATGGACCAGCAGCAAGAGCTAGATCATTACGGTAATTATTCCTTTTATTAGCTCTAGCACAACAGCAAGAGGCAAACCAGAATCCAGAAGCAGAGGGCGAAGACCCTGTTGACTCAAGCGAAGCTGAAGTTTCTCAAAGGGAGCATGAAAGTGGTGCAGATACAGAAGCCACAACAGCAGCTTAGAATTTTCCAAGATCGGATCGAGTTCAATCTTGCTTATCCTCTATGGGGTTTTGGGGTTTTGGGGTTTTGGGGTTTTGGGGTTTTGGGG